CACAACAGAAGCTGGCAGCTTTGCTAATAGAACAGAATATATCCAATTGTCTTGCTTTTTGTTACCTTTTTACTTATCAAAGGAGAAAGATGTTGTACAGAATGTAGTACAAGGGGATTTTGTTTCTAAAGTGGTATGTTTAAATGTTTGTAGGGTGCTAGCTGCACTTCTGGGTCTTTTGGAGCTTGGTACTGGCGGTGTTAAAATGAAAGATATTTTCAGATATGGATAACTCAAGTTTCACGTGAGCTTATCACTGGTTCTTAATAGCATTTCTGAGCATCTGCGTTTAATTGTTCCCAGTGAAGAAGATAGCAAGACTAAAAGAAATGTGGAGAGACGGTTTTTGTAGCATTAAACACATCTGAAGGGGGGATGTTCAGGCTTGGGATGCTTTCAGGTCTTTTATCTCAGAAGAGGTATGAAAACAGGGATATGGAAGAGGCTGCTGGATAAACTGTCATAAGTCCAACTTATTACAAATACATAGTTGTGGTGGGAGTGGTTGGGTGACAGATTACTGATGGCTTTAAAATCAGCAGAAATAGTGGTGGTTACAGCACTGGAATAGTGTGTGTAATAAGAGAGCTGCTCGGACTTGGAAGCATTCTTTTTTTATGAAGAATAGATGTCTTACTTTCTTGAAAGATGGGTGCAGACTGGGGTGTGCTTTGACGTTTGGCAGTTATAGAGGATGTTGGTGGGAGGACAAAGTGGGGAAAAATAATCAAGTAGGACTTAATGCTTCTCAGTGATGTCGATAGATGAACGTACTTCAATGACAAATCGACGCAGTTTGTATTTTGCAGGGTCTGACTTGTTGATTTCCTGCTCTGTGAAATGCTTTGTATCAAACTGTTGTGCACGAGCTGTGTATTAACAGACACTGGAAAGAGCCCCTTCTGATGCACAACTCGATTGCAGTGTTTTTGCTCAGTCACGATTTGTGCTCGGCTCTCTAAAAAACAGCTCTGTGTTTTGGTGTTATTCAACATTTGCTGTAGATTGAGCTATAGATCACTGCTGAAAACAGAGTGAAGAGTGGATAAATGCAGGTGGGTGTGCTGTGCTCACGTGTGGACACATAGCTGGCCTATGGAAGAGCTGACTTACCCTTTTCTTCACTTACAGCTATACCACGAGCTTTCAGATTTTCTGTGTTGTGATTTGTAGTCTTGCAATTATTAAAGTAGATGAGAGGAGATATAATTCTATTAACAAGAAATCTCCACTACCAGCTTAAGAGATGCGGGAGCTTCTCTAAGCATTTTGCCTTGCATGCACCAGAAAACCAAACGTTCTTAAAACATAACAGCGCATCTCATTGGCATGCATTAATTATTCAACCAATTTAGTAATAGAGTCACATAAGCACTGTAATAAAGTTAAATGTTGACGTTTTCAACGCGGTCTACTTAGAACAAAACCCTCCTATTTCTAAGCATTAACAAGAATGCAGATGTTGATTCTTCTGGTGGTGGTACTGCCTGGCAGAGGTGTTGCTTGTGGAGATGGATCTCTTTGAAGTGCTGCATCTTCCCATGGAGCTGCAGGCCAGCCGGCTCTGTTGCCCTGCTAGCAATTCCTAGACGTGGTGCATGTCAGCATGGCAATGACTACTGCTGCACTGCTGATAAGGAGCTCACAATGGCATTTTTCCCTAGCATCTTATCTACGGAAGAAGCCTCCTGGTGCAGCCTTCTGGGGAAAAAAAAACCAACAAAAAACCCCACCTTTTGATCCTCTTGAGGAAATATTGCTACAAAGAACTCCCTTCTTGATATCCTCGTTTCCCGGTAGTGATGTTGATGTGGACATTCAGCGTGGGAAGCACTGGGGTTTAATGTGGGGCACCTTAAACTCTCTGCTTTTTGCTCTGAAATAAGCACGTTGTGATTTTTGTCCATTTCCCTGTCGTCTGCAGAGCCTCAGAGCTGACTTTCCCCATGGCAGGGGGGAACTCGCAGCTCTTTTGAAACAACTGCACAAATTGCAGCTTTGCCACAGGTTAGAGGCTGAGCTGTGACAGTGAGGACCCAGGAACTAGAGTTTCAATAGTACAACAGAGCTATTGAGTGAAGGGACATTACTCCTTAGCACTAGGATTTGCCCTATTTTCGGTTGGTACGGAAGTTATAACTTTGGTATTTACTGACTCATGTTTGCATGCTGTTATCTCACTGCAAAATTCCATTTACATTTTGCTTTAAATCATGTTATTTCTTTCTAACTCTTAAAAAGCTCTGATGTATTGAAATCATTTAACTTACATTGTGTTACACCATTAAATAAAGCTTGAAGGTAAGAGATAACTTGTACTGTTTCTAAGGCTAAAAAGAAAGAACCTTTGTCTCCTCTTCCTTGGCTGCTCCAGTACTAATAATGCCCATTGCTTAATGTGGTTGGCTGTGAAGTTAAATGTGTTTGAAGTCTAACATCCTTACAGAAGGTGATGTTAGCAGAGCCTCAGTCTTGTCTGTGGTGCTCATATCACCGTTGGCACTCCATCAGACAGAATGCATATCAGTTTTCTCTTTCTCAGGCTCTCCTCAAGGCAGGGCTTGCCTTCCCATTGGGGAAATGACAGCAAAAAGAGACGGGATTGTTTGTGTGATAGAACAACAGTTGGTAGCACATGTAATCATAGGGTGCTTTGGAGTGCTGTGTTAAGTTGCAGCATTTGCCTGCCTGTGTATCTTCACTCAAGTGAACGAATAACCACTGTTTGAATTATAATTAAACTTTTTTTTTATGGTGTTATAGTTTAATATAAGTGTTAGCATGGCAGATTGTAAGTGCTGGTCTCCAATCCATGCTCAGATTGGCTGTAAGTAAATCTTTAGGATGAGGTCTTGTATGTACAGTTTAGTTTTAGTCACTAATTTACCTCTGTGTTTTTTTTTTAATGCCTAGGCTATATTAAAGCATTACCATAAAAAATGATAGATTGTTTTTTTTGAATGTGCTTCCAATTCAACACATCTCATGCAAAGTTGGAATATAGACATGGGTGCATTGGCTCAAGTGATGGAATCCAGCAGTACATCTGATGGTAACCAACGATGAATGCTCAGAGAAAACATAAAGGCAGATCTGGTTTGACCTGACTGACAGTACAAGCTTTTTTCCTTTGTATCATGGCTTAAAGTTGTGTGAGCTACCTTCTTCTGACTCTTGATTTGTTCTCCTTCACACTCTTTTGTTTTTGAACTTCTGGTATACTCTTTTTAAATGGTCTCTATACAGTCAGTAAAGACTTTGCTCTTTCAGTGTAAAAATAAATGAAGCGGTAACTAACTTGGTAGTTTTGTTGTTCCTCTTTTAAACTTAACCCTTCTGATGGTGTTCTTCTCACTTGTAGAGCTAGTGAGTCAAAACACCCTTTGATTCACAGGCACTGATAGTGTCTTATGTTTAATCTTCACAAAACACCCTCAATTTAGTCTCCCAGTCTAAACTGGTTGAGGAAGCAATTCCTATAATCTCATTTCTAGAGGGATTGTCACCTAAGATCACGTGTACTTCAGCACTCAGCAGCTTTCCTAGCTTCTTCAGTCTTACATCTCTGCATGCTAGTGATTCTCATCAGTTTGGTTTGGGAGATCCAACTTGTTGATGGGGCACACTCTGGCTGGCCCCCTGCCTTCTAGCTTTGAGTTGCCTCTTCTCCCCCTCCATCTCAGTGTCATTAATTTGCTTGTTCAGCCTTCATCCAGTGTTGATCCCCGCGTAATGCCACTCACAGCTGCTTGGCAGGTTGTGCTTAAAGCTGTTGAGCTTTCTGCTTTGAGCCTGACAGTGACCTTTAACCATTTCTCCAGCTGCTTTCTAGTCTGCTTCTCCAGTTTAGTGCAACAAAAGAAGCAGTTTATTCTGCTGCCAATATCATAGGGGCTAAGCAGAAGGCTGGTTACTTCATGCAAGTGTTGGAAACTGAGAACTAAAGCCTGAAATAGCAAGGGATCTGTGTTGCTTCTTTCTTAAAAGAGTTTGTTCAGCGTTTCTGAGAAACCACATCCTTTTGAAGCATCTTGGGTTGGGAGCCAAAGCGACTTTCAGAAAAGCAGGCTTTCTTTCTCAAGTAAATTCCTATTTTTCATCAAGAAGATAGTTTTGTGGGTTGATGGCACAGGTTTTGGTAGTTAAATGAGAGTTCCAGAACTCAAGGTTCATATTCCACCCCAACTCCTTTATCTATCTATAAATTACATGGAATTGGAGGTGGTCTGCACTGTTTTCTCCCAGCTTCTGCATGCAGATTATTATAATGCACTCACACACTGTATGAATAACCCTGTTTAAAGTATTATGTTGCTGTTGTCAAAGAGATGGCTGCTTGCTGCTCTTAGGCTGGGGTAAATTGCAGCCTTATTTTTGTAGCTGTGTACTTCTGGCATCGATGGTGTGATTTTATTCCCTTTTTAGCTAAGTCATAAATGTGCAACTGGAGAATTTCTCAGTTACTGTGCTTACAATAAAGAATGCATTTTAAAATGAGAATTGTAGCTCTTGAGCAAAGCATGCAAGGTTTTTTTTGTTTGTTTGTTTGTTTTTGCTGACTTGGCTTCAGCACGGCAGATATTTTGCACAACAAAATTAGCTTGTAATGTAGCTGTCAAACAGGAAAAGTAATGTTTACTGGGCTTGTTCCCTGCTTGGTTTTTAAGCCTAGAATGGGAGGAAAAGGAAAAAAAGCAGTTCCATGGGTGACTGGTGGGAGAGGGACAAGAAATAAGATTCAGTTTCATTTTGAACATTCTTAACTAGCAAAAACATCATTGAATTCCTGACTTCTCTATTTTCTGTTATGAGTGAGTATCAAATAACACTATTTTAGTGTTGTCTTTTTGGCCAATTAATTATATGCAATAACATCTGCTGTAACAGAATTATTTTATACCTGATTTTGTTTCTTTAGCATGTTAAGAATAACAGTGGTTATTTTAATCTTACTGCAGGCAAATTTTTGACTAAAAAAAGGAAAATACTTTTACTTCCAGATCTTTCCAAGAACAGATTTACTGAAATTCCTCCTGATGTCTGGCTGTTTGCACCACTGGAAACGTTAAACTTGTATCACAACTGCATCAAATCCATTCCAGAGTCTATAAAAAACCTGCAGATGCTCACCTACCTGAACATTAGGTGAGTAATGCTTTTCTTATTTTTTTGCATTCTGTTGTTACCCAGTTTCCCTCTTTGAAAAGGTGGCATCCTGCTGCTGTAACACATTGCCCTCGTGGTTGTATTTCTGTCCAGGTAGACGCAATAATGGTGTTTGTTGTATCCTTGGTGTTTTAGAGCCAGCAGTTCTTATTGCTTCCTTTGTGGGAAGGAGTTGGCTACCTTGCAGAATTTCTTTAAATAAACTGTGGTAGCTGACTGTAAGGAGAGTTGGTGAAGTTTTCTTTGTTTTTACTGTTACTCTAAAAAAAAAAGCCTGTGTTTAAAATTTACCCTTAGAAACTTACCTGTCTTGGGGGTAAATTGCTCTGGCCAAAACATCGTACTCATCCCACTCATTTTGCACATTAGTCACATCCATTTTTACTGTTAAACTTGGAAAACGCATGGTTGGTTTTCCTTAGAAGAAAAGAAGCTCAACTGGAGATTGTTAAGGATGTTCTGTGAACATACAGAAGCAGATGGAATCTGTTGGAGCCTTCCTTTACAGAGCTGAGGCCTTGTTTTCCTCAATACTCCTCACGCTTTTAACACTGACTATATAAAGTCCAAATCATTTTCCCCAGCTGAGAACTGTTTAGCGTGTCAGACTTGATAACAGAGCTTGTTTAATATTCTAGGTATTACACTTGGGGGAAAAAGCAAAAACCCAAAACCAGCAGCCCTCAACAATCTTGAATCTCCAGCATCTGTTCTTACGTTGATAGTTTAAGTCCTCTGTTTGTGGAGATTCTTCAGAGGATTGATGATACAATAAAACTGCAGGCTTTGTTTGTTTGTTTTTGAAAGAAACTTGACCTCGTTTCCTTCATGGGAGCACAATCCCATTTCTCTTTTGATGGTGGTTGAGGTGCTCCATAAGTGCAGTAGCTTTTAGTTCTGAGTGGGTGTTGTGTGTTATTTCAGGAGTCCCCTCACCTGAGGTCGTGGCTGTGTTCTGTTCTTCCTTTTTGTGCTAGTATCTGAGTGCTGTTTTCACAGCACATATGGATTGCAGTGGTGAACAGCAGTGAAACACTGCCAGACTAGATTAAATACTTCCTTACAGAAGAGAGCCACGTGATGTCCACTTCTCATTTTGTTTTTAAAAGACTGGAGGGAAGCATTACACAATTCCGAGTTGGCTGTTCCTTTTTCAAGCACAACAACCTCGATGACTTCACATGAATCTCCTGTGTTTCACTGCTGATGAATTACTTTTCCATTGCCAAGTTTCCACAAAGAAAAGTTTACTCATGCATTGTATCTCATACCATCCCACCATAAGAAGCCCATCATATCTGCCTGAGGTAGAAACCCCATGCATGTATCCAAAGCTTCCTATGTTCCACTTGGCGTTAATGGAGTAAATACGTTGCTCTTTACAAAGATGTTGGTGACAGTTTATTTCCAGTTTGCTGTTACTCTTACAGTGCCTCTTTGGAACTGAAACATTTTTAAGTTGTTGCAGTCTATAACCCTGTAGCATTAGCAAACTTCTTTTTACCGTGGAAACAGTTGCTCTAATACATCTCCACTGACCAAAAGCAGTTAAGATGGTTTTTCTTTCACTTAAAGTAGAGGCAATTACTGACATCTTGGAATTCTTTAGGTATGAAAGGAATTACTTTCATACCACATCTGAACATGGTTCTTTTCTAATGCCTCTTTCTTCAATGTATGAGTGCCTTATGAGAGCAATTATATGCATTGCTGGCTGTGGCACTCAGCAACTACTAGATTTTCCAATGCTGATTTAAAATTGTCAGTAACAATATCTCTCTTGTTACCAGAGCAGACTTAAGCTGCTTTGAAGAAGTCAATTTTAATTAAAACTTATCTTGTGGGCTGTTACTCACTGAAGTGGTAAATAGGTGTCGAGAGTTTTGGTGATGGCATAGGAATGACACAGTTAAATGGCATGGGAAGCAGTGACTTTTCATAGATCCCCCTGGTTGGGCTTTGATGAGAAGAATATAACTGGTAGACTCCATCAGTTTGGGTCGTCCTTTTGAAAGTGTTGGAAGCAGCATAAAAGCAAACATCAGGTATGGATTCAGTATTGCAGATGTTCATTAGCTCAGCAGGAATGCAGTAATTTGTCAGTATTTGAACCACACTGATGTTGCATTCCTGAGAGATTCCCTACTGCCTGCGGTCAGTGCTGATAATTGAGTCACAGTAGCTGGGACAAGGTGCCAAATCAGCTGTACCTCTCCATCAGAGTGGAGATATCATTGCACAAAGCTTAGAGAACATGGGTTGGAATTTCCTGGGATGTGTTTGCTCTTGTTTGCAGTTGCATTTGTCAGTGTTCTTTTAATTTCTTTTGACAGAGTTCTCTGTATGTTTTAACATTAGAAAGTTCAGCTATAGTACATTCTCGTTTATCCAAATTAAAAAGGGGACTTAAAATGATTGTATTTTAGGCTTTTTCTGGTAGGGAGTTCATGATAAAGATTACAGCTTTATGAAACATGAATGAAATTATTGTTGGTGGAGAACATTTCTTCAGAATAGGAGAAAAGTACAGCATGTGAGACTTGCCATCAGGCTTCAAGAGAGTATTATGACCCAGCCTTGCTTGTTCATTTTTCTTTCTCTCAAGTCGAAATCTTCTATCAACGTTGCCAAAATACCTGTTTGATCTTCCACTTAAAGTTCTGGTTGTCAGTAATAACAAGCTGGTCTCCATTCCAGAAGAAATTGGAAAGCTGAGAGATCTAATGGAGTTGGTGAGTATTAACTGTATTAAGGAAAATATAAAGACTTTGTTACAGCGTAGGAAAAATATAAATCAGTAATGATTTTAAAATAAGAATGCAAAATGTAATTTCCGTTATTCTTTCCTCAACATTTGATCTCAGAATACAGGCATAATGTATACTGCAGAGTTCCAAAACAGGGAATAAACACAGATCAGCACGCTGGGTTAACTTAAAGCCTTCAGAAATAGAATTGCTTTTCAGATTATTCATCAGAATCTCTAATTTCTGTGTGTTAAAACATTACATTTTTCTGCTGACTTTCTTTACAGTAATCATGATTCTATTCTTTTATTGAAGAACTTGATTTTTTTTCTCTGGCTGAGGAGTTTATTTAATCCATACTCATATAGAGGTTATGCCAGTCCATTATTGTGTCCTGCTCTGCATTCCCAGCCCACCCCAGCCTTTTCTCCTTCCGTTGCTTTGGTTAGGTTGAAGAGTGATTTGAGCTATTCCCAGTTCAGGTGCATCTGCAACATGATTATGTCCTGTGGCATACAGAACCCTTGTGCTTTGTTCTCTGTTATTTTCTTAATATGCTGGACTTTAAATGTTAAGCTCTGCTTTTGGAGAACTGTGCACAGTCATTCACAAACTTGGCACTTGGGTGAGGTCTGATTTTTCAATATTTACTATTTCTTTGGTTACTGCAAGTAAACCATATCCTATTTTGGGAGTAGGTGTTTATGCTCCAAAGATCTTTTAACATGACCTAGTTTTTGAGATAAGGCAACACTTATTCCTTAACTCACAAGTAATACGAGATTCTGATTGTGAGGCTTTTTTAAGGTCTTCTACTATTCTACTATATTATTATACTATATTATTATACTATAATATACTATATACTATACTATACTATAATATACTATATACTATACTATAATATACTACTATATTATTATACTATATCTTCCTCTATTTGGTGAGAAGTTCTCTATGCTTCAATGTCACAGAGCTTCAAGGTGAGATCCACTGCTGCTGTTTTACAGGAATTGATAATTTTTCAGTGTTACAATAGCACTGTTTTTGAATTATTTTTCAGAATTGTCAAAACTAGAATGCATGCTTGATGACAGATTCTGGACGTAGCAGAGAGTTTCATTCCATTACCTGTTGGACCTATTTAGCAGTTCATACTTTCTTTTTTTGACAACCAAGCCACATGCTAGAAAGATTCCTTTTTAGAAAGGAGTCCTGTTTTCCATTTGGTGATGTGGACAGAGAAGAACTTGCAGTAGATACACAACAGCTGACCCTGAGCAGCCTATAATTTGAGACATCCAGCTGTGTGCAGTCATCTCTGTTGCTAACAGCCGGAGCTCTGGAACGGTGTAACGGGGAAGGAGGCTGGCTTAAGGCTGACTCACTTGGCTGAGTGAATAACTAGAAGCTAGCCTTTAAAATCAGCTTCCAATTCTTCATTATATAGATAAACATCTAAAATGTAATGGTATTTAGTCTAGGAAATGAGTCAATCCAGTGTATTTTATTGATGTTGTTATTGGAAATAGAAAAGTTTAGACGCTGTTGATTATATCAGTGTGATTATTGATTATGGACCACGTAGGTGTTGAACCAGAGGCAGAAGTAGCTGTGGGCTGTGCTCATTTGGCACTGCTTTGTTACACTCTAATGCTCGAGTCCAAAGAGCCGGTGAGCCTAGCATTACTCTGTACATTTTCTGTTCCTTTGATTGAAGATTTTTAAGGAAAGAAGAATTTTTATGAAAGGAGCAGATTGTAAATCACTTGCTGGCAGTAATACGAGAAGTTTGTAGCTGACATAGAAACTGCAGCAGGATCCTTTGTTTCCTGGGGTACAGGTTTAATTTCAAAACCAGTCGTTCATCATTTGTTGTTTTAACCTTTTGAATTGAATTTCTGAAACATGAGTCACTAAATAGTGAAGAATCAATGTGAGATCTGCCACGGATGCTTTATGACAATTCTCATACCAATTTGCCTTTGTTTAATTTCATTTAAGATGTGCAGCTAATTTTTTCATTATATTTTTTTATCTAGGATATTAGCTGCAATGAACTTCAGGTTCTTCCCCAGCAAATAGGAAAACTGCAGTCACTTAGAGAATTAAACATAAGAAGAAATAATCTCCATATGTTGCCAGATGGTAAGCTGCTCATCGCCATTTCTTTAGTGTAGCTAAACAAGGTAAAGTGTTAATTGGATATCTTATTCTCCTTTTTTTTTTTTCCTCCTCCATACAGAACTAGGAGACCTTCCTTTGGTAAAGCTGGATTTTTCTTGTAATAAAATTACAGAAATTCCAATTTGTTACAGAAAGTTACGTCACTTACAAGTAATAGTTTTGGATAACAATCCAATGCAGATACCACCAGCACAGGTCAGTATGGAAAAAATGCTGCTTTAGTAATTTACATTAGAAGAGCTTCCTCTTTAAGATCCTACCTTAATACCAATCAGGTTTTATTTTCTAGCTGTATTTCTGCTAGTAGGAATTGTGAGCACAAACTCATCGATGTAGGAAGAATTTGTTGGCGTGTGTTTTTTAAAGACATGCTATGTAATTAAGAACTGTTCTTTGTTTCCAGATATGCTTAAAGGGTAAAGTACATATATTTAAATTCCTCAGCATTCAGGCATGCCTCAGAATAGATAAAAAACCAGATTCCTTGGATCTTCCATCGCTGGGTAAACGAATCCCCTCCCAGCCACTGACAGACAGGTGAGTATTGGATTTTGGTTTTGTTTGATGCTTTTTATTTATATTCTTTAGCATTTGCTATGAAGTGGTCTTTGTGGTGGAGAAAAGAATGTAAAACCCTTGTTCTTACAGTTCAATAGCTATAACTTCAGTGGTTTGTTTTAGAAGTCATAGAATTTACTTTTTAAGATAATATTACTGGAGTCTTAAATTGGATCTGAGTGACTGAAAAATCTCCATTGTGTGAAGATTTGTAGATGAATATACAGAAAATACATTTAAAAGAATGTTTATCTTCTTTTAAAAAAAGTGAGACTGCAGTTTCTTTCATTCATTGTTATTTTTTTAAATTTTAAGTAGCATAGAGGACTTTTATCCCAATAAAAATCATGGACCAGACTCTGGCATTGGAAGCGATAATGGAGATAAAAGATTGTCCACAACAGAAGTAAGTATATTTCACTGGTGAATTTCTGTAACTTGTTTTATAGGATTTTCTTTGCTTCTCTATTTCATATAGTTTGGGAAACGCTTGACAAAGTGACACTTAACACCCTTAGAATATTTGTACAGGTTAGTTTGAACCATTGGACTGCAGAATCAGTCACTGCTCCCTAAACTGTTACTGTCTTAAAAGAAGAAAGAAGTTTCTGTGTTGGGAGCTATTCCTCCTGATATGGATGTGTTGTATTATAACTCGTGGCTCATTAGCAAATCATCTAATGATGTGATTTATATGCAAATTCTGTATTCAGTGTCACTGTCTTTGCAGCCATCTGATGACGATACAATCAGCCTTCACTCCCAGGTGTCAGAATCAACAAGGGAACAGACATTGAGGAACGACAATCATGTAATGGGGAATAAACTCGATCCACAGAAAGGTAATATCTGTTGTGCATCTGTCACTTCAGGGAAAAGAACTGCTTTTCCTCAGGTAATCTAATTTAGGAAAATGGCACAAAATGATATGAGGGTATATTGGAATTCTGTCTTTGTCAATTCAGAAAAAAATGTAATAAAAATCGTAAATAAAGGAAGATCAGGGGGATGTGATTTAATTGCATTACCTTTATCTGTAATTTTTCACTAGTACTTCTGACTGTGGCTTCTCTCTCAACGTTTGATTAACAGAACTGTTAATACTCTCTTTTCTGTTCCTAATCAATCTTCACTAGACCAGGAGGTGTATGATTACATTGATCCTAATGCAGAGGAGGGAGCTGTTCCTGAGCAGGGAGATGTGCAGATTGGACCACTGCTGTCTTATATAAAGGTAGCATAGCTTGATTCAAATCTCATTCAATGGACTTTTGTGTGTGTGTGTGTGTGAAATTGAAGTCTAATTTGTTTTTCATCCTAAATAAGGAACGAGGAAAACACCCTGAAAAATCTCAAAAGATAGAGCACAGTGAGGACTGGGGAGATGAAAAAAGGTAAATCTTTACAATCTTTTTTGATGAGGGGTTTTACTTTTAAACTCCTTGCGTACAGAAGTCTGTTAAACACGGAGCTCCTCTTCTTGAGCAAAAAAGCAACAAAGAGCTGCTTGTTGCTGTTTCTGTATCTTGCTTTACTGAAGTCAGGCAAGTCACTGGTGTTTAATTTTTCAGGCTTCAGAAAGAACAGCTGCTGGCTGAGGAAGATGATGAAATCAAAGAAGTGACAGACTTGAGAAAAATAGCTGCTCAGTTACTGCAGCAAGAACAAAAGCACAGGTATTAACAATGTTAGTTAACTGTGTTGCAATTAATGTATTCTTTAGCCTGCCTTGAACTTAAAAGTTCTTCATTCTGAGAACAGTTTTGAACGGTTGAAGCAATAGGCTGTCCCATGTTTCTTTTCATAAAATTGCTGTCTTAAAGGAGTGATATCCTCATGTGGAGAGGAGCACATGATAGGGGAAGTGTCTTGACTTTTATGGTTTGTATGGTAATCTTTTTTTTTCTTCTTTCTCTGACCAAGATAGCATGGCCAGTGCTCACCTAAATAGACTATTATCTACATTTAACATGTGGTGGATGTATATCTTTTATGATGGCTGTTGATATTGTATGTGTGTCTTGTCTGGTTAGCTTTAGAATGTCTTGGTTACCAAGTCTTTTGTAGTACCAAGCCACTCCTCTTCTGGTGTGCTGCAAGTTAAACTTTGTCATACATTCTTCTGTCTTACAGCAGTGATCTTGTTAAATGTTTTACTTTGCTCTTAAATTGATCGTATGTATGTGATCTCAGTAATTACATTTTACTTCTTAGTTTAGGCTTTGTATTTAAAGTTTGCTTATGTATCTTTAGTTATATGGGGGGTAAATCTCTAATGTAAAATGGCACTTATTTGCAATTAGTAAAGTGAAATTCAGACCTGATTTTGAATCTGTGGCTTGTGGATTCGTAGCTTCTTGCCATAAGCAGCAGTAAGAATAATGTTTCGAAGTTGAATTGAGATATTTTTGAATTTGTGGAAAACGTGTACAGCCCGAGTCAGCAAAATGCTCAGAGAAGTGAGCAGCATGAAATAACTCCTTACTAATGGCATTCCTGTTCATTCGGTGTGTTTGCTTTTAATACTACGCAGTGTTTCTTTTCTTTTTGCTTGCTGTGCTGATGACTTCCCTGTCCTTTCCCATCAACCTGTTCCGCTTCCTTCTTCCGTCTTTGGCTTTGATGTACATGAAATATGAATGCAGACGAAGGCCATTAAGCTATAGAACTTCATTCAGTGAAAAGCTCTTCCAGAGGACGAGGGCGGCAGGACGTGCATCCAGGTATACAGTGTTTGTGGAGCATCAGGTTTTCTAAAACAAAATCTGGAGAACAGAAACATTTCTGGCCATTTTTGGAAGCAAAGCAGAAAATAGGGGTTGGCTAAGTTAGCCTAAGATACTTTGCTAGCAAAAAACAGATTGCAATGTGTTTATCGTTAGTGAAGTTAAAATATTGTTTCAGGAAATATTTAATTAGGCAGCTCAACAGAGTACATTTAAATGACCCTTGACTATAAGCCTATTTTTTTTGTCCCTATCACATGCTTTATCTCCTTTTTTTTTTTCCTTTTGTTTTTGAATCTTTAACAGCTTTATTATGGAACCTCAGAGGAAAAAGTTTGTTCCTTCAAAAAGGTCTTGAGTTTAGTGATTGCTTTCATACTATCATGACTGAGAGTTTGTTTTGCATTTGTCAGCCATGAGTGAAGTAACAGGTACACAGAACTCACAGGAAGCTAGAACTCTGGGATGGGATTGTGTAGGTTGTGCTCAGATGTATGTGTACGTGATGAACTGAGTGCTTTCAGGTTTAGCTACATTATCAGTTAACTTTAACTTACTCTGGATGCTTTCTGCTGAAGCAGACCAGGAATAGGATAATTAATTAATTGAAACGATCTTCTGTGGTACCAAATGAGTCTGTTTCACTTCTTGTGAGCGTTGGGTGTATGTGCTCCCCTGACAACAGGAACTGTCTGAAGCTGTAAGAGCACAGCTTACAATGACAACATAATACATGAAGGCATTAGACTGCTCCTGAATGACTGGAGTCTTTCTCTTGAGTTATAATCTGTTATTTTTGGCTTACAGTGAAAGATTTCTCCTGTCTTTGTGAGCTTAATAGATCCCAGATAGTTCCTGTATTTTAAACATAGTGATGACAATCCTTCAAGCACCAGTAGCATCATTTGCTTCATTTGCATTCCTTAATTGCAATATTGTGTTTATTTAAAATATAAAAACAAAGACTTGAGAAGCTGCTTTATCAATTCTCAGACCTTGGAAAATATTTTTCAGTAACATAACTGGACTATCACTTCTTTCCCATCTCGTCAGCAGTTTGGTGCAGTTGTTAGTTTGCATGGCATACAACCAGAAAAATGAGTCAGCGTTGATTTTCGAGCTCAATGTATATATAAATATGTGTAATTGTTTGTGCTGTTGAGTTTTTACATTTCACACTGTGTGTGTTTTAGAACCCTTGCAAAGCTGTAGTTGATCTGTATAGTAGCACAATTTCTGTAGTTAGTGGGAACGTAAGTAGAAAATAAACTGCAGTGCTGATGCAGTTCTCTTCTGCCCATTCTTACACTGGGATTCAATATGAGCATCTGCCAGTCGTCTGTCCAAATCTTTGTGTAGCTGGATTTGATAGATGGCAAGAGTAAAAGCAATTGCTGGGCTCTTTGTGCCATTAACATCTTACGTAAAGGAGCATCATTTTAGGATTTAAGTTTCCCTTTATTGCCCACTGTTTTGTATTGTATTTCCTGGAAGAAAGATCAAGGCTACCAAGTCTGTATTTCCAGATAAACTATTTTGCTATGAACTCAGGAGTCTGTAGTTCTCTAAATTCATATTAATTTAGTATGAATTATGATGTATGACATTATATGGCATAGTTTTTCCCTAACACTTCTGTTCATGACTGTGGAGAAGAAATAGCCTTTGCTACATAGAATCATTGAGTTTACAGGAATTAATGCCCATTTTGGTCAAGCAGATGCATCATTGTGTTTGGGTCTCTCAAATTTCTACATCCCTTCAGCTCATCTTAATGATGAAATATCACTACAAAGTTTATCTGAATTTCTCATTGCCTTCAGTGGAACAGAGAGAGCTAAATTACTCTGGGAATTGATTCTAAAAAGTAATGACTACAGAGCAGTTTATTTCATGATGGTTGGTGCATCCTGTGCTCTGAAAGTTAATTTTTTGATGAAATTTACTTCTTTCTGGACTTCTTTAAATTCTGGAAAGTGCCCTTCAGGTTGTTTCTGAGGACAAAATGTAGGGAGCACGTGCTGCAAACTGAATTATCGAGTTGTGTTACAGGCTTAACTTCTCAGTCCTGTTAAACTGAATTTCACACACTCAGATTTGAACTAAAAGAGTGATGAGTGAGCTCAGAGTTACGACAGTAATCAGAAGTCTGAATGGAAATTAGCCATCATTTGAAGTTCCTTGTTTTACTGCCATATATTACGATGATGACAACGTGCCTGCAGAGTAGTTGGTTTTCTTCTCTTTTTTTTTTTTTTTAACCTATTTTTAATAATTCTACATATAATTTGATGTAAACTTCTTTGGTCAGTCCTCTCCAGCGCGTGGTGAATTCAGTGTTGAACCATAATGTTGATACCTCCAAGAATTCATTAATCATTCTAGTTATCCTCAATGTGATGCTTAACTGAAAATATTTAAGTGTTCGTGGTGGGTTGGTATTTTTAACATTTTACACACGGGAAGGAGATTATATTTATTTCCAATTTAAAAATTATAATCTGAATCTGTATATAGTTTAAGATTTTTATTGCTTAGGGTTGAGGAAAAAGGACTTTCTGTAGGTTTATTAGACTTAGCTTAGTTCTTAGCTTGCGTTTCTCTTATTCTCCTGCTTTCCCACTCCTTTTCTTGCATTTCTTTTGCATTTGCAGTCTTAATCAGCAGCCCTCCTTCCTCCTGCTGACTGATCTGCAGTGCTCAGCCTGTTCTGTCTGCTGTAGTTTGACCATCTTGTCTCTTCTGGTTTTAGCAAACAGTGGGGCCTTTTGTGTGGAGGGTGGAGTAACTTCACGCAGCTGCAAGATCAGTTCAGCTGGTGTGTGCTTAAAGAGAAAAGGGAAAACTGCATTTTGGTTTGGATTATGATCGATTTTAGTTTAAAAGTCAGAACAGGAGTATTATACAAGCTGAAAACTGCGTTGTTGTTTTGAATGGAAGCAGAATTGGCCTTGGATTTCATATCTATGGGTACACACGTACATATTCCAACTTTATGCAAGATCCTACCTTATTGTTCAAACTTTATTTACAGGAAAAGTTATACTGTGTAAGTAATGTGTGTTCTAAGAAAAAAAAAATAAGCTACAAAACTATTGACTATTATGTTTTTTTTTTCCCTGTAGGCTTCTTAATCATTCAGCCTCAGTAAGCACGAGGAACAGGCCAAAGCAGCCAGTGGAGTCTGAAAAATGGTATTAATCTACTTTATCATAGCTTTTAATATTTTATGAACCTAATTCTGGTATTTGTTTTATGTCAGTAGTGCCATCTTTTGACCTAGTGTTTTAGTTCAGGATGACACAACAGAAGCACGTATGTACACAAGGTACATAGGTGTTACAGACTGTTTGTTGTCTTATTGTGCTGATGTGCAGGAACTCCAGTCACTCTCTGTGTTAGGAACATAAAAAGATAATAGAAATACTGATATATCCATAAGGAATTCCCACGTATAGACCATGTAGTAGCTATAGATATGTATGTACTAACAGCAGAACAGAATTATTTATTGTAGCAGTTCCTGCAGTTCTCATTACTTAACAGTCTAACAGATGTGATTCAGACAGATTTCCTATGCCTAACAGCTTTAGAAAGCAGATAGGCAAACACGAAGAAAAAGGAATAGAAAATACAGAAACTAAGAAATGCCTGGTTACTTTGGGAGTAGATTTTATCATCATTGCATACGCAGAGCTGAGTCCATGTATTAAATCCTCAGCTGTAGTTTTTTTGGTATACTGCACGGCTTCTGAGCTCATGTTCTACTTCAGCTGTCAGAATGTGAATGAAATGGTTGTTGGTAAGTTGATGGAGCTGAATTTCACAGGAAGATTTAGAAATAAAATTTTTAAGTGGCACTAAATCTAAACTTTTCTATGTTGCTCTGATGAGCTCAGGCACCATCCTTGGCCTAGAGTATCCTTTTGAGATTCTGCCATTTCATTGTCCCATCTTAAAAGGTTTCTCACTTCCATTGTTAGTGTAAGCTTCTGCTTAGCTTTATGGAGCTAAGAGTGAAATGAAGGCTGTGAATCTTCCAGATGCTTGAGAACAAATATTTTGCCAGCTTTGAAGAAATGCTGGGTGGTTGCTTTGAAAAACAAAATAATGGGACGCAGTAAATTCTTGTTCTTTAAATGCACAAAAATAAAGTAATGAAATTCCATAATGCCTCTCCTTTTGATTTTTAGTGTCTCAGCAGATGAAGTGAACTCTCCAGTGTCTCCATACAGCTGGCAGGTAAATGTCCAAATGCAAAAGGTTTGTTTGCTTCATAGTTAAGTCACTTTGTTTCTTGCCAAAAATGTGTTAATTTGGTTGCTTGCATATATAGTATACATGTAATTGTGGAAAATGGAAAACTTTTCATCAACTTCGAGACAGTTTGACTCAAGCTGTGTAATGCAAGGCTTTTTAGGGGGTATGGTAACGGCTGTACGATTTTGAGACTGAGGTCAAGTTTGTTTTTTGAATTTATTTGCATAAACAATAAGATGATGGCAAATCAGTAAAAAAGAAAAAAAAAAGTATAAATAATTTGAATTATGTATGTCTTCCACTTCATGTACCTCCTCCAGTCTTGCATGACACAAAATTGCAGTGAAACTGTAAAAGGTACTTAATTATTTTTGGGTCTTAATCCATCAGTTAATACAGTTGCTGAATGGCCCAATAATTTAATAGAAATGAATCTTTGAAAATGCAGATACTCTGTCTTAGCCTCTTTATGAATTGGTCCCTTCAGTTTGTCCACTGGTTTCCACAGAGTAAGCAGACATATTTATTCTTACTTTAAGAATGAATTTCCATTAACCGCCTCTGTCGAAGTATTCCATTATGCAGCATTCTGAGGAGACTTTTATACTGCTGTCTGGTGTTTGTAGCCTTTTGGGTGACAACAGTATGCAAATTCTTCTTATATTCATCCTCTTCCTGTGCAGTGAATGTTCATACTGAGAAATGAGATGTGCTGCTGGCTAACCACAGTTCTGACCGGCCCTTCGAAGTTATATATGGTAGCATTAAAAGGCTTCCTAACATACCTGTGAACGTTAAGCTAGTGCAGAAAAGTGTGTTGTTCTCATAAAAATGATTTTGTAGTTCCTTTTTCTTGTATGAAGTGTATTTTAGCATTTGAAGTGGTTCATTTTTAAGTGGACAATTGATTTCTACTAGAATTCCCTTTGACACTTCCATGCCTTACAGCTACGTTGTGGGAAGCCAACTGTAGTTTATAATAATTTGTGGTAATGCATGCAAGGTGTATTTTATCATCTTTGTAAAGTATTTGTAAACTTTCCTAGCCACTGGAAAACCAGAAGGATTCAGTGGATGATCAGCGCTGGCCAGAAACACAGCCAATAATTTGGCAGAATGAAGAAAGGAGGAGAAGTAAACAAATTAGAAAAGAGTATTTCAAGGTAATACATGGTGTGGGTAATTACTTTGTATTTTTTTTCTTTTACCTTGTATTGCTTGGGCTTTTGTTCCTTTGCTTTACAAGCCATACAAAGTTGGAAAGGACCTTTCAGAGCATCTGTTTCAAAGCACCCTGCTATAGACAGGTTGCTCAGAGCCCCATCCAGTCTATCTGGCTCCAGGTTGAAGGATTTCATTTTCAGTCTAAGGAAAATGTGCTTTGCCTCTTCTTGCAGCATGGTTACAAAGGATGTACGTGCATTTTGGTTCTCACTGCATCTTTGCTCTGTATTGATTTTGCTGCTGCAATGAGTATCATTGGTCACTAGATGTCAGTGTCTGCTTGTTGCAGAACTGCTGAGAAGCAGCAGCACTCGGATAAAATGTGCTTTTACACACTGTAGAGGAATAGGATTACTTCTGACCAGTGCTAGGTTAAGATCTAATTGGTAAGTTATGAAATCAGTTTCTTGGGTCTCTACCATCAAAGATCTTTATAAAATGATAGGGAATTTGAAAGAAATTAAGTCTATGGGGGAAAAAATAGAGCATGCTTTATAATCGAGATACTTCCTTGTGATTGAAGAAGCTATTAATTTTCTTGCCCTTGGGAATTTAGAGAGTTTTATCCTAACTTGAATTCTAGTGACCCCTTTCCAAGGTTTGCATCCATTAATTAACTTCACACTGCAGTCTTTGAGGGGAATGAGGAGAAAATTCTCAAACAGAATCCTGCCATTTAACTCATTAATCTAAGCATGTTTAATAAGCATTCATACAAAAGGTTTGCATTGGTTATCTATTATCACTTCAAAAAGTGTATTTAAATACTAATAGTTCTGAGCTGGTGGTGGAGGCAGATACCTGAAATTACATTTCACACAGCTGTGAGTGTGTCTCAACATGCTTAATTTACTGATGTATAAGCAACAAAAAGTATTGTCTCACTTCATTCTCCTCAGTTTCATTTGCAAAAACAAGGCAACAAGTAAATGAAGTGAACCCTTTTATCCATGACAAATGTGGGGGGAATCAACACAAGTGAGCTTCACAGCTGTTCTGAGAGCCAAATCAAAGTACAGTTCATAGTGTCCATATTTTCTTGGCAAAAAGAGTGCATTGAATAATGTCTGTAGTGCCAAACATTAATGAGTATCTTAAGAGATGTCATGCCAAGCTACTGCAATGGGTGTTATTAAACCAGGAATAATTTACTTGGCTCAGAATCCAGAAGTATTAGTAGAGCATCTTTATTATATAATCTATATAGTTTTATTGCTGTAATTGTTCAGGGCAGCTAAGGATGCCTACAAGAATCAGAACTCCTCTTCCTTAGTATTTCTTTAAAGCCTGGCCAATATTTCAGATCTTTATTGTACTGAATATTATTGATACAAGAACTTTTACCATCTAAGACAATTTTATGAACCCAAATGCATTTTTGTTGGGATAGTTTATAGTTGGATTGTAGCTCCATCTAAGCAGAAATTCTGCTTAGCATACTCACAAGGGTATATAAAGGAATTACTATGTGCTAGCTGTGATATGGTTAAGTATGGGGAAAAAACCTAAATGCAGAACTGACTGAAGGCCTGCATAAAAAAGTAGTCAGCTGTGGATGTCTACAGGGCACAGAAAATTAAGCTTTGGCATATAAACTCTCAAAGTAATGTATTTCCTTGCAAACACACAGGAGATATTTCCCTTGAGATATACTGGGGATAACCTGAAGAAGCAAAATATCCAGACATAAATGTGTTTAACACATCTGTATGTGACCCCAGGACTACATGAACTGCATACGTAGGTTCCCTTTTAAAAACAAAAGAAGTCATTCAATAACTCTTGAAAAGGCTTCTCCTCAGAGGAAGGCTGACATCTTAAGTGTTTCATTAAGACATAGAACTTCACCTAACAGAGCTATCGGAAGTTGCGTATTTGTGAATGTTTAGAACGTAATTTCAAGTCAGTTTTGTCTTCTTAAATTCTTCTAACTGTAACTTACAGGCAGCCTTAAAAATCAGATCTCTGAGGAGAGATCCTGAAACTGGATTCTTCCATTTCCAAAGTCACACTCTTAATCTGTCGTGTTCTGTGTTGTATCATAAAAGCAGATATTGCAGCCCCATGCACTTCAAGCATTGAGTTTTGTGGAGGCTGAACTCTTCAATTCTACCTGTATTTTCCTGTTTATTTGTATGTTTCCTCTGCATGCAATGAAATACGTTTCTTTTCCATCCTAAATAGTGCTTTTGTAACTTTCTTGCTTCAATCTCTCCCTCGTTTCCATTGCACTTCTCAGATAATCAGGAGGTGGGGGCAGGAGCAATGTGCAAAATTTCACAGACCTCCTGTGAAAGAGCAGTGGCCTTCAGTAGGTAAAAGTATGTGATCAGGCTTTGCAGTGGTAAATGAAATCCATCTTAAAATTGCTTCTGCAGTGTATTTTTGTATCTAATGCTGAAGGCTGTCAGTTACTGAGGTCTGTCTTCTTGAAACAGATGTTATATGCAGTCAGAATTCACATTATAAAAGTATTTCTGAAATGGGTTTGTTCTCATCAACATACAGAAATTCTGGGTATTCCTGGGTAGCCTAGGAATTGGGTGTTCCTTTTGTCTTCTTTCTCCTTCCTTTGATTCTGTAACGTGTTCTTTTTCTTGGTATCTTCAAAAGTAGTAACTTCTGAATGGTATCAACCCATGTAGTTTGAAGGAAAACCACGCTTCCATTTTCACGTTGATAATTCTGTGTGTTTTGCAGTATAAATCTTCCAGAAAGAGTTCAAGTGGAAATGAAAACGATGAGGTAAGAAATGGTGATTGTGTGAAATGCATAAGAAAATTGTTTTATTTGCCTCTTAGAAACACCAGTGAGCCATGTTTATGGAACAGCATGACATTGGCTAGAGTTGGTGCAAACCAACTTTGCTTTCCCAAGGCCATAGCAGGAATACAGTGAAATAAATATACTCCTATTTGGAAAAAAAAAACAGCCAAAAAAAACCCAAAATTGTGTGGTGTGGAAAAGGTATTATAAAGTAATGTTCTACATTAGTTTTCTTAAGTAGTGTTTCCTATGTTACATGTCTTTAAATTCAGTTTCTACCAATTTGTGCCATACTTGACAAATGTACGTCTCGTGTATTTTGTATTTCATTATTTCATGTTTTCTTGTTAAATCATAGTTTTCATTTTATAATTTCATCTCTTTGGTTTCTTTTTAGCAAGACAGTGATAATACTAATGTGTCCCCACAGTCTCCTGTGTCGTCCGAGGTACAAGTTTGTGGCTTTGTTTTTCACTCAACAAACATTTTTTTTGTGCACATTACTCGTGTCTCCAGGTTTGCCATGCAGACATAAAGCTGCTAGATTACTTTGGAACTGGAATTAAGGCTATTTCTTTGTAATGAAGAGTCAAAAGTAGAAACCAGAGACATAACGTGTTGTGTTTTTTTATTTTTACCTTTGCAACTGTCTGGTCGTCCCTAGGTTTTTGTTTTTGTTTTTAATTAATTGATCTGTAGAAAGATGCATTACTTTGTCTCCTTTATTCTCCGAATGAAAGCAGCTAATGAAGATTAATCCAATTTGGTGTATGAAGTAGTTTTCCCTTATGCATTAGCTGTTCAGAGAGGTTCGAGTAAAACTTGTGGTTCAGTTTTCAGTACGTTGCAGGGAACCCAGAGGTACTGACACTGCTGAAGTGGTTTCATTCTTAGGATTTCCTGTCATCTGTATGATGCTGCCTTGCAGCTTCATTCATCGGTTGTGTTGCTTTGTAAGTAGCATCTGTGTAGTCTCACTGCACTTGCACTAATCTCCTAAGCTGTAAACATACCATACCAAAGAAAAGTGTTTCCAGCTAGTGCTGATATGAAGCCTGAGTGGAATGAGTAGAACATCTCCCACACACAATGAAATGCATTGAACTAAGAATTTCTCATGTATGTACACACCAGATTGCTGAGTACTTTCTTTTAGTTGTTTCTCATGTCACAGTATATCTTCATAATTGAAAAGAAACATTTCTTAAAAAAATCAGTTGCAAAGATATCTGCATTAGCTTGCATCTGCATTAGAATTCAGTTAACAGAATGGTTTGCAGTTGTTTGAGGTGATTGAGAATAGGTATTAATCTCAGAATAGATTTTAGTTTATCTGGTGCTGATTTTTCTGCCTTGGTAAGATGAGTTCACTTCTATCCATTTTCATTATAGCATCCATTCCTGAGAAGTGTTTTACAGTTAAGCAGAAGGGCTAATTCTGTTCTTTTTTAGACAAGAATAATTTAAACGCTATTTTGATGGGAACAGAAGTTAATTATTGCAATGAACAGAAGAAAACAGACTTTCTCTCTTTTTGACAGGATTATGAAAGGACTGATAGTAACACTCACGGTCCGTTTGGTCTCAAACCAAGGTCAGGTAAGCTACCATGATGAAACAGGTTTTCATTCCCCAGGCAGGAGCAGAAAAGAAGGACACCAGATGCATGCATTGGAATGAATGCAAAGGGAGGACACAGCACATCATTTCACTCAGTGTACTTACCACAAGCATGGTTCTGGAAAAGACGTGGTTTGCCAAAGCAGCTGTCCAATAATTGAAAGTTCCCAGAGCTGCACAGTCACTTTAACTTCACTGATTTATTTTTTGCATGTTTAGTCATGGTGAAAGAGCAGGGAAACAGCGTGCAGTTGTTCGTGAGACATGATGAGGCAACAGGGCTTCAAGAGAAGTAGTTTTTTGTAATTTGTCCCATGAAAGGATGCATGGAGCAGAGCTTTGTCAGGAATTGCATGTCTTGGTGCCTTATTGTGCTCTGACTCTTCCAAAACTCTGCCCCCAGTTGCATCAGACTAGATTATCTGAAGGCTTTCAGTTTTCTGAAATCCAGAGTTCCAGAATATCCACAAATACTTTGCTATTACAGTACTATTTTTTTTTTTAAGGTCCATGAGAATATTCTATGTCAACAGTATAAGACATAATTTGGCAAAGCCAGTCTGCAGTCTCATTTCCAGCTAACATACGTTAACAATCTTTGTGCTTTTTTGTTTGTTTGTTTAAAGAAAAGATAACCTGACATTTTCTGTCTTCATGGTAGTGAAATTTGAGTGCTTAAATGTTAACCTGTGAGCCCTCAATAGCAGTGTGTGTCTGGCTGAGTTCATACAAGTGGCACCTTTAGGGCCCTCAAATCATTTGTCATTTGTGAGCAGCTCTTGAAACTCTGTGCCAAACAAGATTAGCTTGTTGCATATATAAGGGCATGATTGGCTGTGCACATCTGGAGTTGTCTGTGTCCTAGGCTGTAGGAAGTTGGGGTTTCATAGAAGTTAAGAGGCTTGTTAGTTCTCCTTTGCCAGTATTCTATAAATCTAGTTGTCGTTAGGCTTTCTGAACATGATGAATGAAGTGAATTGCAGTCAAAGTATTTAAGAGACAAGCTCTGAACCCTTGGATAAGATTCTTGTTCCTTTCTTTAGCCTCCATAAAAATATTTTCAAACCTAGCTTGCAAGATAAGCTTGCAGAAGTACAAATAGAAACATATACCTTAGGTATTTGAATAGTGAAGTCAGTTCTGTGTCCATATTTTGATGTAATGCACTTGCAGTTAAATAAGATGATTTATGTTTTATTTGAAGACTGTCTCATGGACAGCATCTGTTACTTCAGGATACTGTTGTGTCTCTTTTCTGTCAAGTTCTGTAGCATGTTTTTCCCTGCTGTTATCCTCGATGGTAGATTTTATTACTGTTCTTAAAATCTGAATTCTGAAGGCTAACTTCAGTCATGTCCAATAGCTTTCAGCCGTGCAGCTCGCCAGGACTATGGAGCAATGGATCCTGGATTTACAATGAGGAGGAAGATGGAGCATTTAAGAGAAGAAAGGGAACAAATAAGACAACTTCGCAATGTATGTACTGTTATTTACTATGTAGGTGCAGTGAATTTAGTTTGCTTTGAACCACAGTTGAAACCTTGGTAGTCTTTTACTCCTCCTTCTAGTAAACTTCTATGTGATTTCAGCCCACAAATTCTACACAGTAACAGCTGTGGAGGTATTCAGCCTCACATTTCTGCCTTTAAATTCTGTGCTTTCTTGTTATGAGCAGTGGGATTCAGCATATGGTTTTGAGAGCTGTTGTGGTAGTTGCTGGCTGAATGTCTGTGTCAGTGTGTGTGGCTGTGTGAATGAAAGGGAAAAACAGAACAAGCAAAGGGAATGTGATCTTGATGTAGAATAATTGTGCTCAGTGAAGTATGAATTGACTCCATTTAATCCTAATATTAAAATGCCCTTTTAAAACTGTCTGCTTTAAAACACCTCGTATTTAAAATGAATAATTAGCTAAACAACTCACTCACGGGCTTTTTAACAGAATCTTGAATCAAGGTTAAAAGTAATCTTGCCAGATGACATTGGGGCAGCACTGATGGACGGAGTCGTTCTTTGCCATCTAGCCAACCACATAAGGCCACGCTCTGTTGCCAGCATTCACGTACCATCGCCAGCAGTGGTAAGTCATTTAGCTCACTTTTTTGCACACTTAGCTCACTTTTTTGCACACTTAGCTCACTTTTTTTTTTTTGCATCATAATTGAAAACAAATTCTTGAAGCTGATTGCAAAAAAAGTCACGTATGATATCTGCCGTATTCAATCTTTTTCAAGAATTATTAAATAAGGCTCAGAAGTTTGGTTGAAGAGCTGTTTTCATGTATTGAATCTATATAATCTGTGTTCTGGTTTGTACTTTAGCAGCTGTTGCAGAATTTGCATCAGATGTAAACAGTATTTCACAGTTACCTGATGAAAATCCTCTCTTTACAGCCTAAACTCAGTATGGCAAAGTGCCGAAGAAATGTTGAGAACTTTCTGGATGCTTGTAAAAAATTGGGCGTTCCACAGGTATGGTAACTGCCTTCATGACTAACGTTATCACACCAAAGGTATGTCAGTAAATAGAGCCTGCAGCAGGGCAAGCAGGTGGGGAGCAGTAATGATTATAACACTGTCCAAGGAGCTTAAAGACACAAAAGGAAGGGAAGAGTCTTATTTCTGGCCTGTAGCATTAAACTGAGGATGCTGTGTTTCCAGCTGGCACCCAACAGCAGGAATAATACTGAGAACCCAATCTGTTAGTGCCTCCAGGAGTTCCCAAGGGGAAAACTGATAATTTCCCACATCAAGATGTTTTCTATGCAGATATCTGACATATGTGCAACTTCAGGGAGAATGCTTTTGTTACCCAGCTGGGAAAGAGTGAATGAAGCTTAATACCTATTCTACTTTATTTTACAGGAGAGACTTTGCTTGCCTCATCACATACTGGAGGAGAGGGGTCTGGTGAAGGTTGGCCTCACAGTTCAAGCTCTGCTTGAATTGCCCACGTTGAAAGTATCTCAACTTTCTGCCATGTAACACGAGTTCTTGGAAGCTCTGGAGCAGTTCAGCTTCCTACATAGGATTCCTACATAGGAACATCCAAGCCATCAAAAACTAATGTCTGTCCAGATGCTGTAGAGAGCCTTACTTTGGAATTATACATGAAAACCTTGGAGTCAGCTGATGTTAAAATACCATAACGATTCGTTTCCTTTTGTAGTTGGATGCACAGAGATTTTGCATCAGGTTCTCTTTCCATTTAAAAGTTAAAACTTTAAGTTCAAAATGACCATTTAGCATCTCACAGTGTTACAGTTAAATGCTGGATTTCTTTTTCTACATTGGAAACGGTTTTTGAATTAATTTAGAAGTACAAAACCTGATCCTCCTTGCTTGAATTATTAAGGTCAACTATCTGATTTAAAGGCAAAACGAAAACGTGGCGATGATTTGATGGTAAAAACGCAGTGACTGATAGCTGTAATCCACTCCCACTCTCTTAGAAACCTTAACTTTAGTGTTCTTTCTTTTTATTTTTGCACTCCTGATTGTAACTTACGCACTTCCAACATTGCCAGTATTTAGTCTGAGTGTGTGGTGATGCAAAACAATGGGAAAAAGGACACTGAGTTTTGTTTTTTTCCAGTCTTCTAGGTTGGTGCCAAATATTTTTTTCAGTTGTACTGTAGATTGTTTACATGTGAAGTGCCTGTGTAATTGATAACTCTTACTAGTCTTAAACATTTTTTGAGATTTCTTTGTTGAAAATAGATAAAATGGGAATTTTTAAATATTTTAATAGTTTTTTGTAAAATCAACACGTGGAGATTTAACTGATGCTTCACATTTTTTTGATGTTGGGTGTTTTAAGTTTGTTGCACAGTTGATTATGTCGTTATCTAATAACTAGAAAAGACTGTAAATACACTTTATTTATGATATTTAATTTGATAATACCTAATCATTTTTTGTTTGTTTTAATGTATTGTTGGGTAAACAAAGCTGTCTACTTCTCTTTGCTTGGGACAAACAAACACACGTGGTGAGTACGAAGTGAGGATTCGTGATGCATACAAAGTAATGGAGGACATTCTGATAAAACTGCCAAAATCTCAGGTTTATACTGTGAATCCCAGGACCTCATGTAATACTGCTCCTGGGTTCACATTACATTTTTACAATTTGCAATTACCCACGATTGAGTTGAGGAATCTCGGTGTCTGTCCTTGTCACGTTCGCAGGATTTATTGTGCGAGTTGCATGAGAGTGTGGCACAGCACACAGATCAGTTTGCACAGATGTCACTGTGCCGAGACGTTGGGTTTCTGAAAGAGTACAATTCCCACTGTGCTGCATTGTTTGTTTTTATCTTCTTTTTGTATTCTGTGCAGATTCTCAGCATTTTGAGAGCATTCTGAAACCCTGCACAGAATACACAGCTGAATTCATTTCCAGAAAGGCTGCAAATCATTTGGTGGTTTTAGTAGCAGGTTGAATTGGTTTGTTGGATAGGTAGTTCATATTTACAAAAAAAAAAAAAAAAAAAAGCTTTGTCACAGATATTCTGTTTTAGGCTAAATTAATTTTGGCTGAGGGATGTGTTTGCCTTGTGTGTAACAGGATTTGGTTCTGTCCTTTCCTTTAAGGCTTCACAGCTCATTGAAAAGCTGATGTAAAACTGCATTTCCAACATCCAAGTCTAAAATCTTTCTTAAGCAGAATACACGTGTGATCTGTAGTGCTTTGCCATTTTGAAATGCTGTAGATGCTGTATCTTAAATTGGTTGTTGCATCAGTCACATAATACTCATTTCAACAACTTAAATTCAAAGGCAGTGCCTCTAATTCTGTGATCTGAGGTCATGCTAAGGCTAAAATGAGAAGGTAATGTGTTTCATTAAGCTGATTTCTTGTTGCTGTGTGCTGCAGTTGAAGAACACAACCATCCAACAGGAGTAACTCATTGTCTTTCAGTTCCTTGCTGCGTAGTATCTGATGGCTGTAACAGTTCTGTTTCAGTTTGTTGGCCATTGAGTTGCTGGCTATGAATGGTCACTCCAAGTTTTTTAGCTTAACCCAATCCACACTGCTGCTTAATTGTCACTTAGATATTTTTTCTTGCTTTAAACACTTTCTATCCAAATACAACTAAACTTATCAATTTACCATATCACAGTGTAAATGTTAAGAATCCCCTTGATGTAACATACCAGATACTTAACAGTTTTATGAGATTAGCACGTTATCTCCTAGTAACATGATAACTGGATATGAAGTTCATGTCCTCATCTTGAATTGAACCTCTGAAATTGAAAACTACAGAAATTACCCTTTGTAACCACTCCAGAATCCTTCCCCATGAGTGGGGATAACTCATGCTTTGCAAGTCTTTGGACGTTATTATGGACTTCTCAATATGGGGAAAATAACTCCTGGTGCTTAGAGGATTTCCTCTTTAGCACTGCAAAAAATGAAGGCTTTCCAGTGTCCTTTGGAGCAACCTGAGTAAAGGTCTGCTATACCTGAGTGCATCTTTGCTCATTTTCCTGTAGCCGCCTTTTCCAAATAATACTCTGGAGCAGTGCTACCAAAAAATGATACACAAAATGAAAGTGAAGCTATGTTAAGTTTTCCTAATGAATTTCAGAATTAACTGAGAGTGCTTTTGTTATTGCAGTAGCTGTATGGCGTTGGCAATAATGTTGGCAATATGCTCTGTAAGCTGGAGTGAATCAGCTGACAGGGCTTCTGCCTGCCTCTGTTTTTTTTCCTGTTTTCTCTGTTATTGGATGCAGCACACGGATGCTTTAAGCAATAATGTTCCAGTTATTGTGGTCTTATAACAGTGGCATTGAAATAATAGCTGTAAAGGATGATGGCTTCAGACATTGTATTTTAGAAATGCTTCACATCTAGTTTATAGTGCTGCCAGTCTGCTGTGTTGGTCGGGGCTTGCTGGCTGTTCAGAAAACTGTCTGCATACATCTATCCGAAGGCCTTTCAAAATACAACCAAAAATTTAAATTATTCTGAAATACAGAATAATACATTTGGAACTATAAATGTCTGATGTGAATTGTTGGAGTGTCTGGATGAAGTCCTGGCTTCAGTGAAGTCAGTGCAAACTTTGCTTTTGGTTTCAGTAGAAGAGTTTTTATCTTTTTAGGCAAAATGTGAGTTGTGTGACACGAGCAAAGCTGCAGTGCCAACTTCTTGGCTAATGCAGTGATCTCTGGTTAACGTTGTTACTGATTTATCTACTTAATGCAAATATTCTAATGTGCCATACAGTATTAAGATGGTAGAGAAAATACTCTTTAAGCACAGCTTTCGTACTGTTGGAAGGTCTGTCACCTCAGTATAATTGGGTAGTGGTAGGACCAGGGGAAATGGTTTTAAACTGAGACGGGAGCTTTAGGTTGGATGTTAGGAGGAACTTTTTCACCCAGAGGGTGGTGAGGCACTGGAGCAGATTGCCCAAGCAGGCTGTGGATGCCCCATCCCTGGAGGCATTCAAGGCCAGGCTGGATGTGGCTCTGAGCAGCCTGGTCTGCTGGTTGGTGACCTGCACACAGCAGGGGTTGGAACTGGATGATTATTGTGGCCCTTTGCAACCCAGGCCATTCTATGATTCATCTCACTTTGCTGAGCTTTCTTATTTCAAATACTTTATTGCTTAGCAGTGGTCTTCTCAGCTTAACATGAGGCTGGCCAAATTTAAACAAAACGTCTCCATTTATTTTCACTAAAACCAAATTTCCTTCTCCGTATTGAAGAGAAGGGTTGGCATTATGTACTTGTGCAATTTAAGTATTTATTTAAGGAAGTAAAGTAGCTCTCATGTGTAATACAGGCAGTCTGTCTCCAAAGAGGTCTCTGTGCCAATGCAAAGGTCAGGTGCGTTAGTAATGTACCAAATCTCAGTCAAGCAGTAAGCAAGACTTTGTTCAGCAATATCTCAAACCAACATTTATATATTTTTTATCTCAGGAGAGTGGATTTCAACTGGACACAGTGCGAGCATGAGGTTTTTGGAGGAGTTCTTGGCACTTTCTGCAGACAGGAGATGACTCTGTGTTGGTAAATGAAACTTGTTTTCCTCCCCAGATCAGACTAACATGTGTGTTCCTTTCAAGCGGTGCATCTTATTTAAACACTGACCTTTCCTTGGAAAAGCAAGCTTGAAAACCCCACTCCTCCGCAACGCACACACAGCCAATGAAATATTTCCTGTTTACAGATGACCCTTTTGAATTACAATAATAACAATAATAAAATTCTGCTGATCTTGATTGTTAAAGTAGAGGGAATGTGATTGACTTGGTGCCGGATTAATCTCCCCCTTACAGGAGCAGTTCTGCCTCCTGTGTTATTTATGCAATAAACTGTGGCTTTGCTTTATTTGCCTGTAAGTATTTCACACAGTGCAGCTCTGGCAGTGTGCATCCTGCAGTCCTGGTTGCACACTGTAGTTGCTCCATTTCTGTTTTTTGGCATTTCTCTGAGATAAAAAGCAAAGGGGATTGCCATGAGCAGCACAATTTCTCTGGAAGGAGTAAGGGTTGATGTAAACATGATATCACCAGTCGTTTGTAGTTCAGATGTTTTATAGCCAACTAAACTTTCTAAGAAGGATTTTTTTTTTTAAATATTTTTCTCATCTGCACACATCTTAGAATACTGATATTCAAACAGACCAACTCTCAAAAGCCTTTCCAGGATTTGTTTATTCCCTTAGCAAACATTAGAGGAGAAGAATGGTTTGAGCTGACTGCACATTAAATGGTTTGGGGTACTTTCCATTGCCTTCAGTGAGAGCAGAGTTTCCCTAAGTAGTTTATAGTTTCGTAAGTGACACCACAAAGTCAGGCATTGAAAATGAATTCTTGGCTCTACCAAGGACTTCCTTGCTTATTTCAAAATTGTGTGAAATAAGGAAAACTTGACTTTCTCGTCCCCTATTGTAATTATCTGAGGGCAGGTTATGAAGCAGCCAATATTTGGACCGTGGCCACGGTGATGCTTTCTCATTTATTTTTTTATCTTAAATACGAAGGAATCGATGAAATCTTTCCCGAATTGCTACATATGTTGGTTGTGCCATTCCAGGCATGAGATCTCCCACTGGTCTGCACTGAAACCTTTTCTGAAGATTGTGCTCTTCACTTGAAACGTGTTAACTTGGCTCTGTTTACTGAACTGCAGTGTTCCAGTAAGCATTGCTGCAACCGTGGGGTTGATTTCCCTGTTGCAGGGGTCGATATCTCTTGCACCAGCAGTAATGCAAGCTCTCAGTGCTCGACAGGGGCGCGTGGAGGCACTGCAGAGGTGTTGGTGGGTTACATTGGGAATCGTGTGAATACTTTTTACTATGGTGTGATGTGTAGAACGAGGAAAACGTGTTTTGCTTTCTATCACTCGGTATTCAGTCACTTTATTTTGTAATTTGTGATGATAGAACTCAGAAAACGCAACGTGACCGAATGATCAATATGTAAACATGTGCAGGACGGGACGGAAGCAGTTCTGAGGCACACAGTTGGAGAGTGATCATTTAAAAACAGATGCTTACATTGTGTATATACTTAACATCTATTTGATAGCGAGTTTGGATTAATTTTGCATTTCCTGTTCTTGTAAAGTGCGTTTTCCACACTTCTGAAGATTGTCTACCTGTACAATAGTGTATTCAGTGTTTTTTCAGGACTTCCATTGCCGCTGGAGCTTCCAACATGTATATGTTTCTTTTGAAGAAATGTTCCTACTGTTTTTTGGGGTTTTTTTTTTTTTTATAAATTGCTTTTTTTTTTTTTTTTTTTTTTTTTTTTGTATTAAATTTGCATGGATAAAACCCACATTTCCAAAACCAGTGTACATATACTCTGTGTATAAAATACAAACTGTTTCATAACCTTCGTGTAGGCAAGTTATTCCCTTGGTTTCACTTCGGTCTTTCTGTGTTCATGGTAAATAATGACAGTTTGTCTGCTCTTTCAAAGGTGTCTGTTGTTGTTTTGAGAGATCACAGAATCAGAATCACAGAATTGTAGGGGTTGGAAGGGACCTCCAGAGATCATCGAGTCCAACCCCCCTGCCAAAGCAGGTTCCCTACACCAGATAACCTGCCCGGCTGCATATCAAACAAAAGAAATGGTAACTCCCATTCTGTGGAAATACAAAGGATGTATCTTAGGTCTTCTGGTTAATCAACAACGAAATGGATAAGAATATGTCAATTAAGATGTTTACATCTTAATTCAGCTTGGAAACTCCTGCTGATGGAGGTGATCCGCTTCCCTCCCCCACTGTGGGCTGGGTGGAGCAATAGCACAAATCACCCTTTGTCTCCTTTGCAGTCCTTAGGTGCCAGATCCAGCACAAGGGAAGCGGATCTGCTGGTTTTGCCAGTAGCTGTTGTTAAGTCAGGTTACACCATTGTAGTTAAAATGCACTATACGACAAAACTGATTTTTTTTAATTATTTTTTCTCCCTGAATTCCTTTCTTTGCACGCGACTTTGAGGCTTTGCTATGTCGAGTGAGTGTTAGAAGGTTTCTTGAGAGAGCTGTTGCTCTGTGATACTAATTGGGGTCAGAAGGGACCTTTAGGATCATGTAGTTCCAACCCCACTGCTATAGCAGGGATGCCTCCCTCTAGCCCAGGTTGCTCACAGCCCCATCCATCCAGCCTGGCCTTGAGTGCTTCCATGGAGGGGGATGTTCACAGCCTCCTTGAGCAACCTGGGCCAGCGTCTTTCTGCACTTGCATCACCCAGCTCTGCTGTGGTGGGACTCTTTAAAGCAGAAACTGAAAAGCAGCGTTGCTAAAAGTGAGCAATGTCCCTTGATGAATACATCTAGGCAGTTGGATTTTTAATACTGTTTTTCTTTTAATTAGAGCTGAAGGGTTTGTTAGGTTTCATTCTGAGTCTGTTGTTCAGCTTCCAGTCCTGAAGAAAG